GGCCTCTGCGGCCGCTGAGCAGCCCTTGCCTCCAGGGGCCGCCAGCGCCCTAGCGTGGCGCCTCAATATCGGCGGTGAGAAGATCACTGTGGTGAGGTGGGGACCCGCCTGGCAAGCTGCCTTCCAGAGCGCGGCGTCGTGGCTGAGGTCTTTCGCACCCGCAGGGGCCGCCGAGCCCGAGGGCAAGGATGACTTGCACTGCCTCCTGCGGGCCTTGCACGCCTACAAGCGCCTGTTTCAGACAGGCGGCGCCGAGCCGATCGACGAGGCCTCGTGGTTGCATCCTTACGTGGCCGTCGTCGAGCCCGAGGCTATCCCCGCGCATGCTGACCTCCAAGCCATGGGGGCGGGCGCCATCCGTGGCATCGGGCTCGGCTCAAAGATCGAGCAGCGGCGGCGCGCGGGCAAATTGGCCTGCCTTTTCGACCTTCTGTACCATGTGCAGGACAGTCACGGCGCCATCCCAGCAGCGCTGTGGGGATCCCACTCCCCTCCGTCCGAGATCCTCGACGCCTTCGCGGAGGTGGTGCCCGTTCCACATCATTCGGGCTTCACGTCCTCGGCAGCTCGTTCCGAGCTCGCCGAAGCAGCCGCAGCTGCGCGTGCCGAGCCGCGCCCGCCTTTTGACTGGGCGACCCTCGAGGGAGGGGACGCTCTGCCAGCCGAGATCGAAGCAGGGGCTCGCCGTGCCTACCGTAACATGGGCGGATCCTTCAGCTCGGCGCGGGCGATGCTGGCGGAGGCGTCGGGGTTCGAGACCGACGGGCGGGACGCCCTCGTTCCGCCCTTCTACGCGTCCAGGCGCAGGAGGGCCGCCACGCTGATCAGCTCTCCAAGCCCTGGCCGCCCTGCGCTCATCCTGTGGTGCGTCTGCGGCCTCTGCATCTCTCTGGGAGCCGCGGCGCCGACCGCAGGCCAAGGGCTTAGTCGGGCTGCGCCGTCCGCGCCCGCTCGCCCTCCGCGCACTCCCTTCGTGCGCGATTCTCACCTCACCTCCGCGTATCTCGACCGTCGCTCGAGATCGATTGATGCCTTCGAGCTGTGGTTAGCAGAACACACTGGCGTGCCACCCGCCACACTTTACCGAAGCGGGATACTTCTCGCCCGTTTCCTCGCGACCTTCGGCGTGTGGCTTCATGATGCAGGTTTCCCTCATTATATTTTGGTCCATGCCATCTTGGGAATCCAAAGCGCCCATCCGCATTGGAAGGCCTTTCTGACAGAAGCTTGGGACGTAGCGAAACAATGGAAGCTTGCGGAGCCGCCAAAGCTCCGTCCCCCCTTGCCACGCGCGCTGCTGCGCGCCATGGTCGGGCTCTGTCTCGCCTGGGACTGGCCGGTGATGGCGGCCCTGCTGCTCATGGGCTTCACGATGTTCCTCAGGCCTGGCGAACTGCTGGCGTCACGCCGCTGTGACCTGTCGCTTCCATGCGACCGTCTCGAAGTTGAAGGGGATGCTTTTCTTTCGATTCTTGTTCCAAAGACCAGAAGAACGTACCCGACGCAACATGCTCGCTGCTCCGATCGGGGCACGGTGAAGGTATTGAATCAAGTGTTTGGGAGGTTGGCTTCCACCGATCCTCTCGCCCCCTTCGGCGCGAGCGGCTTCCGTACTCGGTGGAATCATCTGCTTTTGGCTCTGGGCGTCCCTCTTGCCAAAGCAGGTCAGGGGCTCAACCTGACGCCCGCTTGTCTGCGGGGCTCTGGCGCAACAGACTTCTATATCGCTACGGAAGACGTCCCCCGCGTCTTCTGGCGAGGGCGCTGGCGTCAAGCTTCCAGTGCCGAGCGCTACCTGCAAGCCGCCGCCGCCTCCACAGTTCTTGCTGCGCTGCCCGAGCACGCACGGGCTCGTATCTTGTTCTTCGCCACCGCCAGCGACCGCCTTGTCGCTTCGTTCCTCCAAGTCGGCCCCGCCGCTTGGCCTGCCCTGCTTGCGGCCGCCCGCCAAAACCTTGTCACTTCGCAAGGTCCTTGAGCACGGGTATGGCTGCCTCGCCGACATCGGCGACCAGACGGACTCCACCGTCTGACGCGCGGCGCCCCGGCTTGAGCGCGCGGGACGGGCCTGCCCATTTTGGGCCGCCCCGCGCGCGCACGCCGCGGCCGCGCTCGGAGACAGCTCGCTAGCGCGCGAGCGGGAGAATGCTTCTTCTATTCTCTGTGAGCAAGCTCCTGCTGTCTCCGCAGCTTCTCTGCCCCCCTCCCTCCTCTCCCACTCTAAGGCTGACGGGCGCTGCCTCGCCGACATCGGCGACCAGACGGACTCCACCGTCTGACGCGCGGCGCCCCGGCTTGAGCGCGCGGGACGGGCCTGCCCATTTTGGGCCGCCCCGCGCGCGCACGCCGCGGCCGCGCTCGGAGACAGCTCGCTAGCGCGCGAGCGGGAGAATCCTCCTCCTCCTCCTCCTCCTCCTCCTCTCCTCCTCCTCCTTCTCCTCCTCCTCCTCCTCCTCCTCCTCCTCCTCCTCCTCCTCCTCCTCCTCCTCCTCCTCCTCCTCCTCCTCCTCCTCCTCCTCCTCCCTTCCTCCTCTCCCGAAAAACGTCTTAGAAGCTGGGGGAGGCTCCCAAGAGGCCTCTGCCTTTGAGAAGTTCCCCCGCCTCCTTCGAAAACGGCCCCCCTCGCGCTGACCCGCCGTGCGCGCCGCCGAGACGTCAATGGGAGGGTGCTCTCCAGGCCTTCCAAGTGGGGTCCAGCAGGTGGCGCCAGGGGATCGCACCGCATCGCCGATGCATCGGCGATGCGGCTCGATGTGGAGCCCTACTTTCTCCACGGCGACGGAGCCGATGCATCGGCGATGCGGTGCAATCCTCCGACCACATTTACTTGGGCCCCATGTAAGGGGTATCCAGATACGGTTGGGAACTTTTGGTTAGCGTGTCGCGCCGCCGGTTCTAGCCCGTCACGCTTCGGTGCGACACGTCATCCATTTCCCGGCCCCCCAGCGTCAACGTCCCGAGCCTTTCCGAGCCTCACGTCCCGCGGAGCGGAGCGACACGCCATCCGCTTGCCAGGCATAGCGTGTGGCCAGGGCTTCCGCCGCGACACGCTATCCAGGCGTTCCTGACCGTAGGCCCCCCCTCCTCTCCTCCCTCCTCCTCTGCCGCCCCTGTCTCCCCTGTCTTCCCTTCCCCGTTTCGTCGAAGTCCGGAGGTAAGGGGCAGCCTTGGAGGGGGATGCCAGAAGAGGGAGAGGTACAGATACAGCCACCCTTCCTCCGTCTCCACGGTTAGATTCGCTTCGAAGTCCTCGTCAGAAAACACCCCTGGAGAGGTCGGGGGAGCAACGACTGGTTCGAGGCTCGGGGTGCTCTGGCGCTTGCGTCGGTTCACGGGGGGGGCTCCCTCCTCGGGGCGCGTCCCAGCGGCTGCGCCTCGCCGAGAGCGTGCCCGGGGCGCCCCGACGGCCCCGAGGTGCCGCCAGAAAGCCGAGCTGTGACCCGAACAACGGGGGGGGGCATCGACCCCCCATCGTCCATTCATCGCCGATGGGGGGACCGATGGCCCGCCCTGTCCCAGGAACCTGCGGGCTCGCTCGCGGGGGCCCACAGCCTGGGCGCTGGAGGAAGAGAGCCGCGCTGGGCCCAGGGATGGCTCGAGGCGCTGGGCCGCTCCTTGGGTCCGTGGAACCGGCATGTGGCCCAGTCCCGCCGTGGCCAGAAAAGCTGCTGCGTTCCTTATATCACGCGTTCCTGATGGAGGAGGAGGAGGAGGAGGAGGAGGAGGAGGAGGAGGAGGAAGAGGATATATCATGCGTTCCTGATGGAGGAGGAGGAGAGGAGGAGGAGGAGGAGGAGGAGCAGCAGAGGAGGAGGAGGAGAGAGGTGGAGAGAGGAGAGGAGGAGGAGGAGGGAGGAGGAGGAGGAGGAGGAGGAGGAGGAGGGGAGGGGAGGGGGACCACGACTGCATCACCGATCCATCGGCGGGAGGGGCACCACGACTGCATCGCCGATCCATCGGCGACATGTCGCCGATTCTACAGGTCGATGGCTTCCCCCCCTCAAGCTGGTGCCGGGCCGCTCCTTGGATCGATCCAAGGAGCGGCCCGGCACCAGCTTGAACCGGCATGTGGCCTAGGCTCGCCGTTGCCAGAAAAGCTTCTACATTCCTGATGACATGTCTTCCTGACGGCAGCACCACGACTGCACCGCCGATCCATCGGCGACTTGTCGCCGATGCTGTGGGTCGATGCTCCCCCCCCCCCCCGTCCAGCCGGTGCCTCCCCGACGTGGCCCCCCCCCCGGGAGGCCGAGGCGGGGAAGATGGACGTGACGCCCGACGAGCTGTTCTACCTGCTCCCGCGCACCCCGGGGGAGCGTAGGGAGGCCGCCGACTGGCCCGCACGTCGCCTCCCCGGCGCTGCCCCCGCGGCGGAGAGCCGCGTGCGACACCGGCAGCTGGCCTCCGCGGGGCGGGGGGGGGGGGCCTCATCGCCACGGCCGGACGCCGCTCGGCCGCCGGACTTGTTTTGCACCACCACCACCACCAGAAGTTGGAGGGGGGAAGGAGGAGGGGGGGTGAGGGGGGGAGAGGGGGAGGAGGGGAGGGAGGAGGAGGAGGAGGAGGAGGAGGAGGAGGGGAGGAGGGGAGGAGGAGGAGGAGGAGGAGGAGGCGGAGGAGGAGGAGGAGGAGGAGGAGGAGGAGGACCCCCCTTCCCCACTCCTGACCTTGTGGTGGTGGCGGTGGGAAGCAAGCCCACCAGCGTTTGGGCCCTAGGAGGGATCGGAGGACCGATCCTGAGCCGACCTTGAGTTCCCAGTGTCTCAGCGCACCCTTCTCCGATCCCTGGCCTGGAGGGTGGGGCGGGCGAAGCCGCGCTGCGCGCGGTGCACGCTGCAGCGATCGCTCGAGGGCGTGCCCGGCCTTCGAGGGCTCGAAGGAGTTGGCATCTCCTTTCCTCTGCGGAAGCCGGCGGAAGCAGAACGAGGCCGCCTCCGCCGGCGGAAGCAGAAGATGCGCCACCAAGAGATGGCAATATGTTTGGTTCAAGGTTTTTGGAACCCGCCATGGGCCACGTGCATAGGTGGCGGTACCCCTTCGGACCTACCTTCGCCCCTCCCGCCCGTGGCGAGAGCCCCTCCGCTCCCAGACTCTCCCCCATCCCTGCCAGGGAGGGTGGGGCGGGCAGTGCCTCCTTGGGCTCCCCGGCATCGGGGTCTACCATGTGGACGATGGCTTTCGGTCCCAGCTCACGAAGCTCTACCGCCTTCTCGTCAAGGAGGGCGGGGACGTGTTCGACATGTGCTCCCAGCACGACTCTCATCTGCCCTCCGACGTGGAATACAATTCGCTGACGGTGCACGGCATGAATTTCGTGGAGCTTATGGCCAACCAACGTGCCACTGATCGCTTCACGCAGAACTTCAACAGCGACACCTCCCTTGCTCGCTTCGCAGATGGCTCCCTCGACGCGGCACTGATGGCCGTATCCATCCAGTACATGCAGAGCCCCGTGGAATTGCTGCGGGAAGTGCGGCGAACGCTGCGGCCCGGCGGCGTGTGTATCGTCAGCTTCTCTAACCGTATGTTCTTCACGAAGGCCATCGACGCTTGGCGCTCGTGCAAGAGCATGAGCTCCCTCGCCAATCTGGTGAAGGGATACTTCGCAGATGCGGGGTTCGTCGGGACGAGAGTCGCGAACCGCGTCGCCGCCGACGGTGCGGGCCCCCTGGGCGACCCCTTCGTCGCAGTGGTGGGCTTCAGGGACTCCGCGCCCGAAGGCGCCCTGCAGCATGACGAGATCTCGTGGATGCCGGGGATGAGCGCGGGAGGCATCTGGTGAGGCGCCGCGTGTCGCCGCTGCAACGCTGGCGATGCGGGTGCACACGCGTCGCGGGCGCCGCACCCGCTGCGGCACGCGCAGACGCCTGACGACGGTCGCGGGCAAGGGGCCGGCCGTGACTGGCAGGGCGCTGTCTCGTGCGGCCTTCACTGGCAGGCGTGCTCATGCGAAACAGAGTCTCTTACTCCTTCCCCTCGAAGAAGACAAAACTGCACAGACATGCAGAATTATGCTCCTTCCTCTCCTTCTTCTTCTTCTCCTGCTTCTCGAAGAACAAGAGGTCCACTCTTCTCCTTCTTCTCGAAGAAGAAGAAGAAGTCCGACATGCAGACTTGCAAAATTCCTTCTTCTCCTTCTTCTCGAAGAAGAAGAGGTCCGCGCGGATTCTTGTTCTCTATGCTCCCCTGGTGCCCAACCTTAAGTCGGGCTTGTCCCTCTACAGGGGGAATATTCAAAAATAGTCCAAAAATAGTATGAGGACTATGTTTTAAGTACTTGTTGGTCCAATCTGGAATGTGTTTGGGGTATGCTTTATTTTCCGTCGAAAATCCCCCTGTAGGGGGACACGCCCGACTTAAGCCTAACCTTGCAGGATGCCGAAAATCCGGATGTTCCTTCGTCTTCAAGATCGGCGTGCTCGGTCCGTTAAGAGATCAATTTTCCCGTTTGGGGGGTTCTCATTCGCGCCGTTCTTTGTTCGTTTCCGTTTTTGTTTGCCGTTGTTTGATCCTGGTTGGGGTTGCCGTTTTTGTGTCCCCCGTGCTGGCCGAGAACCGAAAAATGAAAACGCAAGAACAACTTCCCCAGCGTTCTTCACATCAATTGAGTGCCTGACAGCGCCTGCCTCACGAGCTCGTGCGATCTCGCCCACCTCTTGACAGCAGCGCCGCTCGGAGCGCCCTGCTGGGCGTGGGAGGGAGCCTTTGCAGGTTCCCTCTCCCGCGGCTAGAGCGGGAGCCTTTGCAGGTTCCCTCTCCGGCCGAACGAAGGAGAGGGACCCTTTGCAGGTTGCCTGTCCCGGGTCTAGAGCGGGAGCCTTTTTCAGGTTCGTTCTCCAGACGGGAGAGGGAGCCGTCGCAGGTTCCCTCTCCCGCAGCTGCAGCGGAACCCTTTTTCCAGGTTCTCTCTCCAGCCAACCACGTTTTCTGTAACGCCCTCTCAAGCGTCGATACAGATGCCCTGGCCTGTGAGGACAAAGCTCCGAAGGAATGGGCCACCTTTTCCGAGCGCGAGCTGGAGGCGCCCCCGCGATACACTCTGGACGAGGCTCCCGCTCAACACCTCCTCCATGTTCAGACATCAGGAGCCCCAAAGCGACGATAGGAATGACATGTTGAGGACCCGCTCGGGGAGTGCAGTCTAAGACTGCCTTGCGATGCACTCACAGACGAGGCTCCCGCCGGATACTTCCTCTATACTCCAGCTTGAGGAGACCAAAAGCGATGACTGCTAGAGGAGTCCAAAGACCCGCTCGGGCTAATAACGTGGGCTGCGGGCCCCATAGGGAAGGGGCTCCCTCTGAGACTTCATCACAGTTCACTCACAGACGAGGCTCCCGCCTGAGGTTTCATCCATACTCAGGCCTCAGGAGCCCAAAAGTGATGACAGTTACAAGATTCCGATGACCCGCTCGGATTAGTAAGATGAGTTGCGGGCCCCATAGGGAGGGGGTTCCCACCTGAAACGTCCTCGCAATTCACTTACAGACGAGGCTCCCACTTGAGAAGTCCTCCATGCTCCAGCTCGAAGAGACCAAAAGCGACGACTGTCAGAGGATTCCAAAGACCCGCTCGGGCTAATAACGTGGGCTGCGGGCCCCATGGGGAAGGGGCCCCCTTTGAGACTTCATCACAGTTCACTCACAGACGAGGCTCCCGCCTGAGATTTCATCCATACTCAGACCTCAGGAGCCCAAAAGTGATGACAGTTACAAGATTCCGACGGCCCGCTCGGACTAGTAAGATGAGTTGCGGGCCCCATAGGGAGGGGGTTCCCGCCTGAGACTTCCCCGCGATTCACTCACAGACGAGGCTCCCGCCTGAGACGTCCTCCATATTGAAGCTTGAAGAAGCCAAAAATGGCGACAGCGACAGGATTCAGATGACCCGACCGGATTAATATCATGAGCTGCGGGCCCGATGGGGACGGGGCTCCCGCCTGAGACTTCATCGCAATTCACTCACAGACGAGGCTTCCGCTTGAGATTTCCTCCATATTCTAATTCGAAGAGGCCAAAAGTGGCGACAGTGGCAGGATTTCGATGACCTGCTCGGATTAGTAACATGAGCTGCGGGCCCCATAGGGACGGGGCTCCCGCGTGAGACTTCTTCGCAATCCAATCACAAACGAGGCTCCCGCTTGAAACGTGCTCCACCTTCAGGCTCGAAGAGGCCGAAAGTGACGACAGTTACAAGAATCCGGTGACCCGCTCGAATTAATAATATGATATGCGGGCTCCACGGGGAGGGGGCTCCCGTCTGAGATTTCCTCCACACTCAGGCCTCAGGGGCCCAAAAGTGGTGACAGTTACAAGATTCCGATGACCCGCTCGGATGAGTGAGATGAGTTGCGGAACCCATAGGGAGGGGGTTCACACCTGAAATTTCCTCGCAATTCACTCACAGACGAGGCTCCCACCTGAGACGTCCTCCATATTGAAGCTTGAAGAAGCCAAACATGGCGACAGTGACAGGATTCCGATGACCCGATCGGATTAATAACTTAAGCTGCGGGCCCCATTGGGAGGGTGCTCCCGCCTGAGACTTCCTCGCGCTTCACTCACAGACGAGGCTCCCGCCTGAGACGCCCCCCATGGTCAGGTCTCAGGGGCCCAAAAGTGACGACAGTGACAATATTCCGATGTCCCGCGCGGATTAGTAGCATGAGCTACGGGCCCCATAGGAAGGCGGCTCCCGCGTGAGACTTCCCCGCAATTCACTGACAGACGAGGCTCCCGCCTGATAGTTCCTCAAGTGTGAGTGTGAGTGAATGAGTGAGCGAGTGATTTGTGACTGGACGAATGAGTGAGAATGATGATGATGTTGATGATGATGTTGATGATGATGATGATGATGTTGATGATGATGATGTTGATGATGATGATGGTGATGATGATGATGATGCAGATGATGATGATGATGATGATGATGATGATGATGATGATGATGATGCTGATGCTGATGCTGATGATGATGATGATGATGATGATGATGATGATGATGATGATGATGATGATGATGATGCGTGTGTGAGTGAGTGAGTGGGTGGGTGTGTAGGTGGGTGAGTGAGTGGGTGCGCGAGTGATGATGATGAATGTGTGGGTGACTGTGTGAGTGATTACGACGGCGGTGATGATAGTGTGTGTGTGAGTGGTTGAGTTGGTGAGTGAGTGTAGGAGATGATGGTGTGTGAGAGTGATTGGGTGCGTGATAGAGTGGTCTTGTGTGGTGGGTGTGTGACTGATGATAACGGTGTGAATGATTGAGTGGGTGAGTGTGCGAAGGGAGAGAGGCTGAAGGTGTTATGATGATAGTGCGCGAGTGATTGAGTAAATGAGTGTGCGAAGGAAAGAGAGGAGAGAGGGTGAGGTGGAAGGACTGCGCGGGGTGTCAGAGTGGAGTGCCAAAGACAGAGGGTAAGGGGTTCCTACGCGGGAGGTGCGCGGAGAAAATCAATCCGACGGTAGGACCCCACACGAGAATATGTTTAATGTGTTTCGGGATCTCTTCCTGCCACCTCCCTTCTCCCACCCACTCCTGCCTCTCCCTTCTCCTCCTGCCTGCTCTTCCTCCTGCCTCAACCCCTGCTTCCTCCTCCTCTTGCCTCCACCACTCCTCCGTTTCCTCCTCCTCCTCCTCCTCCTCCTTTTCCTTTTCCCTCTTCCTTTTCCTCCTCCCCCTCCTCCCCCTCCTCCTCCTCCTCCTCCTTCTCCTCCTCCTCCTCCTCCTCCTCCTCCCCAACCTCATCATCATCATCATCATCAGCAGCAGCAGCATCAGCATCCTCCTCCTCCTCCTCCTCCCTCCTCCTCCTCCTCCTCGCCTCCTCCTCCTCCTCCCATCTCCCTCCTCCTCCTCCTCCTCCTCTCTCCTCTCCTCCTCCTCCTCCTCCTCCTCCTCCTCCTCCTCCTCTCCCTCTCCCTCTCCCTCTCCCTCTCCCTCCTCCGCCTCCTCCTCCTCCTCCTCCTCCTCCTCCTCGTCTCCGTCTTCCTCCCCCTCCTTCCTCCTCCTCCTCCTCCTCCTCCTCCTCCTCTACTCTTCCTCCTCCTCCTCCCCCTCCTCCTCCTCCTCCTCCTCCTCCTTCTCCTCCTCCTCCTCCTCCTCCTCCTCCCCCCTCCGCCTCCTCCTTATGCCTCCTGCCTCCTCCCGGGGCCTCGTGGGGCCTCCTGGAACCTTCTTGGCCTCCTGGGACCTCCTGGGGCCTCCTAGGGCATTCCTCCTCCTCCTCCTCCTCGCTCCTTCTCCTCCTCCTCCTCCTCCTCCTCCTCCTCCTCCTCCTCCTCCTCCTCCTCCTCCTCCTCCTCCTCCTCCTTATCCTCCTCATTCTCCTCCTCCTCCTCCTCATCGTCTTGTTCCCCCTCTGCCTCCTCCTCCTCCTCCTTCTCTGTCTCGTCTTGCACCCACGACCCGGAGCAAGCACGCGAGGTGCGAGCCCCACAGGGACGGGACTCCCGCCTGAGACTTCTTCGCGATTCACTCACAGACGAGGCTCCCGCCTCACACTTCCCCCATTTTCAAGCCTGAGGAGCCCAAAAGTGACGAGAGTCACAAGAGGCCGATGACCCGCTCGGACTACGAACATGAAGTGCGGGCCCCATCGGGAGGGGGCTCCCGCCTGAAAACTTCCTCGCAGTTCACTCACAGACGAGGCCCCCGCCCGAGAGTTCCTCCAGATTCAACCCAGACGAGCCCAAAAGTGACGACAGTTGCAGGAAGCAGATGACCCGCTCGGATTACCAACATGAGGCGCGGGACCCATCGGGATGGGGCTCCCGCCTGAGACTTTTTCGCTATTCACTCACAGACGAGGCTCCCGCCTCATACTTCCCCCATTTTCAAGCCTGAGGAGCCCAAAAGTGACGAGAGTCACATGAAGCCGATGACCCGCTCGGATTACCAACATGAAGTGCGGGCCCCATAGGGAGGGGGCTCCCGCTTGAGACTGCCTCGCAATTCACTCACAGACGAAGCACCTGAGTAATGCTTCCTCCACATTCAAGCCCCTGGAACCCAACAATGGTGACAGTTATAGGTGTCCGATGACCCGCTCGGATTTGTGACATGACCTGCGGGCCCCATAGGGGGGGGGTCTCGCGACTTCCTCAGAATTCACTCACCGACGAAGCTCCTGCCTGATGTTTTGCTCCACATTCAAGCCCCTGAAGCCCAAAAGTGGCGACAGTTATAGGTTTCCGACGACCCGTTCGGATTAGTAACATGATCTGCGGGCCCCATAGGGAGGGGGTTCTCGCTTGAGACTTCCTTGTAATTCACTCACAGACGAAGCTCCCGCTTCATACTTCCTCCGTGTTCAGGCCCCTGGAGCCCAAAAGTGACGACAATTTAGTTCCGATGACCCGCTCTGATTAGTAACATGAGCTGCGGGCCCCATAAGAAGGGGCTCCAGCTTCAGACTTCCTCGCAATTCAATCACGGACGCGGCTCCTGCCTGATGCTTCTCCCATATTCAAGCTTCGGGTACCCAAAAGTGACGACAGTTGCAGGAGGCCGACGACCCGCTCGGATTAGTAACATGATTTGCGGGCCCAATAGGGAGGGGGGTCCCGCCTGAGACGTCTTCGCAATTCACTCACAGACGAGGCCCCCGCTTGGGTGGGCAGGTGGGTGAATGAGTGAGTGGGGGAGAGAGCGAGTGATGATGATGAGTGTGTGGGTGGGTGAGTGTGTGAGTGGGTGAGTGAGCGGGTGGGTGAGCGAATGTGAGTGACGATGTGTGTGAATGATTGAGTGTGGGAGTGCGTATGTGTTGGCGAGAAGAGGAGAGGGTGTGTTCTCTTGTTCCTGCGCGGGGTGTCCGGAGAAAACAAGAACCCCACCTTGGATGCGGGGAACAAAAAAACAATTTTGGAGGGAAACATGGTTTCGCAATAGGAATGCTCGCGCGCTGCTGCGAATTCTTAAAGGAACCACCAGCTTTTTCATGTTCATCAAACCCATCGCGCGCATGTCGAAATCATTCGAACGCCCTTGCGCGCGTACTGGGGGGGGCACAACCCCTTGTCAAATGATACCATGCGGGCCATTCGCGCGCGTCGACCGCGCGCGCGTGTCGAGATTGTCCCAAAACCTTC